CGGCTAGCGCAGATAGCCCTCGTGTAGCTTTGCGCGAAATTCCAAAACAAACAAACACTAAAGAAGCTTTAAAGTTCATTTTATAATGATTTCCTAAACATATATAAATTTTATATTTCTAGTTATAAAAGCTTTTTTATTTCTTTCACATCTTTCCAAATCTCATCGTCTTCTGTTAAATTTTACAATTTTAATACTTCAGTTTTAAAATGTATTTTAAGATCTTAATGTTTAACCCATACAGCATATATTTACTTATTCAAAAAGAAACCTCAAGATGTGGAAATTAATAAACCACAACAAATAATAACAAAAAAGCCATTGAAAAACACAAACAAAAAACCCAGCAAACCTTCGTTAAGTTGGCTGTAATGTTTTTGGTTTTTTTAACTATTCGTTAGGTACAAATACTTACTTATGCGTACCGGCTTAATTTGCTAGTTTTACCGTAAACCAATTTACAAGTACTCTCCAAGCAAAGTGATCTTGAAGCACCATCTTGCGTGAAAAAAGTGAAATGCTTTGCTCCTCCTTCTTATGCTATTTAAAACTGTAGTTATACTAAACGGTTTTAAGATAATAAAAAATATTCTCTGATAGGCTCTCAGAAACAAATAATCTTCTCCTTGCACTACTTAATAATAATACTTCTTGTTTTACAGATTTTATAACTAATAAGTCTGAGTAGCGTCTTAAATGTTATCATTCTAAATAGATAAATATAAAGGGCATTTGAAGAGAAATCAGTTCAGTTTTCCACAAATACCCATTTTCGCGTATTCAGTTGAATCTTTTAGTTGATATATTTTCTAAATAAAAATTCAACTTTTAATTGTACTTATAGAGGTTTTTAAAACCTTGTTACATGGTGAGGAAAGTACAGATATAAATGCCATTCATTTCGTTATCATTTTTAATTTTATTATTACAAGAAAGAGCATTAAGAAAAATGCACAATGCAGCAATCTTTATCTTAAAACATAGTCAAACACTCAACAAAAAATAATTGTAAGTGTGCTTTATGAGTGTGGATCTGGCAAGAGAGATAGTTAAAGAAATTTTCGCAGTTCACACTCATCAGTTCAGTGGGAGCTCCTTTGTAAGTGAAAAAGAAAGAGAGAGAAAAAAGAAAAAACTAAATGTTAAAAACGTATCCTCAAATTTTAAATGAAGCAACACTGAAAGTTACGTCTATCAACATAAGTCTGAATAAAAACAATGCACTCTTAACAGGGGAGAAGCTGGATTTTTATACACAAATGAACAACGTAAGGCAAAGGCTGTTCATGGCTCGAACATCACTCACATGGCTCCATATCTCTTAGCTTGAGCATAAGGTAGGGGATGTTCTGGGCCATTACCGATTCGCCAGCAAAAAAAAAGACAACTATTATCTTGGATCATGAATGAAGCAACAACCACTTTTCCCATAAGAAAATACATATAATCCCCAATTAGATAATTATGGTTTCGTACACAGTTAGAGTAAGAGGCTGAGATGTTTACTTGAACAATGTTTTGCATTTAAACTGAGTTTGAATAAAATATAAATTTCACGAAAACTGCATATTAACTAAGGGTTCACCACATTCATCCTCTCCCCGTGATTTCCAATTATAAATTAAAACAGAAAACCAATCAAACTTTAATCGAAACCATTCGTCCTCACCCCAGTAAAAATAGCTGCACAACAATACAAATAAATTAATGGCAAAATACAAACAATAAAACAAACGTCACGTTAACACATCCTTAATAAAACAAATATATCCTCTCATCTTAGGAGAGGATATCTAACACACTAAATACAAACATACAGAATTCCCGTTTAACATCAGCTGATAACAAAACCGAAAATAAGCCTTCATAAAATGAAAATGCAAGGTAAAATAAGAAAACAAATAGAAACCTCTGAGCAAGATTAAAACATAAAATAAATAAACCCATTTAAAACCATAAAGTAGAATAAGCAATCTAATGTTAACTAGATGTAGAAAAATATGCAGCATAAAACAGCCCTCTATACGAAATCAAAACGTAATTAAATATACATATATATATATACATGGTGCAAAATAAAATAAATGATAAACTATACAAATATACACTATTAATTAACTTGTTCATACAAATTGACAACATATGTAAATATCTGTAAGCCCAAGTTGCATCAGAATGTAGGCATTCTTTCTGAAAATAGAATCCTTTATACATACACTTCATGAATATATAAAATAACCCTAGCCAAGATGTACAAACAAGGTATACAGATATACCCTACACAGATTAACAACCAAAGTAAATAAATAAAAAGTCATACATAATATATATATATAAATATATATATATATATATATATATACATTTTAGATGGAGATGTTTACTAAGAAAGTCTTTTAATGCAGATTGATTTGTGATGGACAATTTTGGTTTGGTAGATGATCCTCCAAGCTCTCACAAGAGTCATCACCAGATCCTCATAAAGATGACACATCTCTTCCTCCAGTTGCATTGGCAGTCTTTGATGCTTTAGGAAATGATCTTCTTTGTAATAAAGTACCCAGGCATCCATTCACCTGGCTGCCTGTTTCTGACATTGACACTTTAAAACCATAACCAGTTTGCTTCAGCATGAGGTACTCTCTGATCTTGATCAGGAGTCTAATGGGCAGCTTACATTTCTCTGTCCTCAGTCTTGAAGCTGTAGAAGGATCAGCCAATGAAGTGCACAGCGTGATGCTGATATTAATGTTTGCTGTCACGATTGATTTTTCAATTACTAGCATGGTGATTGTCATGGCTACAGCTGTCTTCTTTCTTCTTGGTGGATTATCGAGATGACGAGAGTTCGAAGG